GTTTTTTGATAAGAATAAGAAACTTTTAAACAGTTATGATATGTTTCAAATGGTTATACCCTTTAAACGTTTTTCACGTGTGGTTATACCTTTTTTTTGGTTTTTCTCAAATGGAGAATACTTTTTAGGGTGTTTTTGAAATACCTTTTTTTTTAGAGTGTAGCTGTCTGTCTGCAAAATATGGAAAAATGGGTGAATAGTAATCTATGGACTATATGGTCAGGAGACGCAAAAACCAATGAGAGTACATATGCACCACGAAAAGCCAATGAGATAGCAGGGATAGCAACAAACAGAAAATAAGACGTAATGACTAATACATCAAGTGCACAGCGGTTGAGCGACAGAAAATTTATTTAATAATCAATTGAATAGAGTGCGCTACCTTGCGAAAAAATCTTTTAGAGAACAAATTGCGGCGTAAAACCGATAGAATCAGATTATTTGAGAAGAATGTGCACCAAGGGAAAACAGCGTTTGGAATGATACGGAATGGGCCATTCCGCTTCCCCTCCTTGTAGTGTTCTCTAATCAATATCCGTAATCACTATTTGTTTGAGATTATTTTCACTTCTAGTCAACCGTTGAGAATCTCTTATACGTACTTTCACGAACACTAGAGTTTCTATAAAATCTTTGGAGCTTTTATTCATCAAACAGTAACAGTCTTAGTTCGATTAAAATCATAAAAAGCTGCTTTTCCAAGTTTTTATATGGTAGTCAAGGTCTTTTACTATGATAACGGCCATTATTAATAGTTAACTCATCATTCTTCTTTTTTCGGTCAAACCAAGGCATCCATACATTTCTATCCATGAACGCTGCAATCCCCGCAAAATTTCAAAATTTCCCGTTGATAGTAGAGATTTAGGTACTTCTACAGATCGATCACACACTCACACTCCATTTTATGAATAGAATTGATGGATGCCTTGGTTTGACTAAAAAAGAAGAATGATGAGTTAACCATTAATGATGGCCGTTATCATAGTAAAAGACCTTGACTACCATATCGGGAAAGCAGCTTTTTATGATTATAATCGAACTGAGTATGTAAGAAAATCCATAGGAAGGTGTTTTTAGAAAACTGCAAGTTTTGGCTACTGCGATAAAACTCAAACATACTTCATTTTTAAAAGTTCAATATCTCATGAACGTTATGTCCCAGGCCAAACAAAACAATCTGTTAACGTCGTGTAAACGGCACGTTCACAGTCATCATAATGGTGGAAAGCCGGTTTGTTTACGACCCGTTAATTACCAATTAAATGCAAAAACTTATGATTCTCTCTCTTTATTTTTTTAATCTGTATATCTGCTGATAATGAGCATTCAAAATATATGAACGATGAGGTCAATTTACTTGATCCATATCTTATTTTGTAAATAGTATTCTCTGTGATTTAGCGTCAACTACTTTTTATAGCAAAACTTTTTCTTTTTTTGTAGGTGTTCTTTTAGTTCATAAGGAATCAATTAAATTACTGGGCGTCGTATCACGAAAAAACTTAAGTCAAAGTCTAGACTTAAGTCAGACTTAAGTGTATAAAATTAGCATGTAAGTGCACATAACGAAGGCTTAAGCCTGACTTAAGTCTAAATTTGACTTAAGTTTTTTTGTGATACGGCCCCCTGAGCTTCATTCTTTAATCGAAGAAAATCTTTAGAAATGTTTATACACTTGTATATAGATATTTATTGTGTTGCTACATGTGTTGCTTATTGATAAAACGTTGTACTCTTATTTACAACAAGCTCCTACCTTTTGGCTAAATATGTTCACCTCGCTTAGTTCTTACCGTTCATTTTCTTATTACTCCTTTTTTTATCCGTAATACATTTTATCCCTCCTCTAATAATAGCAGGATCTTGTTTCAATAAAATGAAAATTATTGTTTATCGACAAGTAGTTTATTCACTATTTGTTTGAGATTATTTTCACTTCTAGTCTCTCCTAGGAGATCATAAGCATCACTTTTGATTGCCAGTACTCTATTCTTTCCAAAACAATTAAAAACAAAGCTCAATGCTCGAAGAACGGTTGTGTCTTTATTGTTAAACAGGTTTAACCATATCGGAAAATTGTTCAGTGACGTATGAATAATCGGTTTTTTTATGTTAAAATGCCATATTCTAGGTGTGTTTATGTATTGACAGTTAAACGAAAATGTATTAAATTCTTGTGGTAATTCAGTTATTTGTCCTCGAAATAATAAATTTAAGGCCATTTCATCGCTTGTTAGCATGTCATCCGGATATGTTTTTACTAAGACTTCAACATGCTCTTTCACTTTCTTTTCTCGAAATTTCTCTACATCAATTAACATGACACCTATAAAATACAATTAAAATGATGTATCTGTAGTTTAGTTTTATGGTCAGTTGTACCTGCGTTAGAATATTTGTGATCGATTGCACCAACTATAAAATCTTCTCGACTGGACTCTAAACGATATCGTAATGGTCGCAAATTCTTATTAAACTGTTGCTTCATAAACTTTTTTATATGCAAATCTTTTCCAGGTACTACCATGGCAACAGTGTCAAATTCAATTGTGAATAGTTCTTCAATGTTATTCATACAGTATGTGTCTACATCCAAATAGAGTACACGATCAAAATGTTTTGTAGCAGTCAAATAGGGTATTTCTAAACGAGCAAATGTTGTTCGTGATTCCACTGAACCACAAATTATATTCAAAGGCTGTATTTTTTGTATATTGAGAGATGATTGTTGTAGTAAAAGATCATTTAACGGTTCCACATTAGAGCCGTCTAATAAGATAGTTATATTAGGATGGGATAATTGAGAATATTTGAACAACGACAATACCAGACCTTTACATAACATTTGGTAGTAAAGTGAATCATTCACGGCACACACAATATTTGATATCATTCTTTGCTGTAAATTATATAAATGTACACACCTATGACAGTAGAAATCCAAGATACACATGTGAATATTTTCACAGAAGATTTAGTTTACCTTCGGCATAGAAACCATCTCTTTAGTTTTATTCGTATTGGCATTGCCAATCATTTTTTTGACTTTTGTCTTCTCTTATGAAGTAATTTCATTCTTTCTTTGTTCTGATGTTCTGTTACGGTTATATATTAGATTATATTCACAGGAATGAATAATAACAGTTATGTTATCAAACCAAACCGTATTACATATTGGTAATGTACTTAAAATTACAACAGAGTGTATGCCAGAATAGATAATTAATTCGATAGTTGATACATATGTAACTTGTTTTCTGTTTCTATTAGTAAATTCAAACGTTTTTATGAAAAGTATAAAAAAAGCCTTTTTAGATGTTCTAGAAAAAGCCTTAGGTTTCTGTTACAAAACCTAAACGAGTTCTGTTTGATGATAATGTACTAAACTGTCATAAGAGTTTTGTATAAAAAAAGGTAAATTCTTCTGAAGATTCAGTAAAATGCTATCAGGTGGAACTCTTTTAGATTTAATAGATAAGAAAAGTCCTTTTAAATTTTGTAGCAAAAATGAAAAATCTTTTTTTCGAATATTTAAAAATACGCTTTATTCTTATAAAGTACCATAATTCTAATTATAGTTTCTTTTCATGAAGTTCGGATGTTTTTTTATGAAAAAAACCTTTCAAACATCGATGTAAGCAGAAAAAATGATTTTCATAGCACGTATTTATAACTTATTCCCCATTAAGTTGTTATTCTTTTCAATTAAATTCGTTTTTTTTTCTCTAAATTTATCTTTTCTTGCTGTCATCTAATCAGAAGGTTTCACTCAGTCGACTTTCCACTCCCTTCAAAGAATAGTAAACCTTTAGCTGTTATTTATACTTAAATAATCTCAGTTTTAGTTTGTTAAATATCTGAAAACATATCTTTTTTTACTTGTTCACAACTTACAAGCAGTTTTTTCGTCAAACAAGATAAGTAACGAGTTCATGAACAGTTCTAAATTCAATCTCACTTAACATATTAGGTTCTATACTTATTGCATGCTTGATGACATAAACAATTTTTTTGAAAACTTTTCTTCATCTTTAACATTTGTCGTCTTTTAGATAATTTTACAACAATCGTTATATCTTTATATATGACAATCAAAATCATATTTTGATCGTTAAGTACTTTGTATAAAAAATGAAAAATATTTAAATTACAAAAATAATTCAATAAAATATATAAAAATAGTATTTTTAATTTTATTCTAAAAATAATAAATATTTTTCAAGATATTTGGGTATTTCTAATTGTTTTGTATAACAACATGTTTGAATTGATTTTAAATTAAGTAAAATATTTTTTCTACATGCTGATTTAAGTGTCACTGATCCATCGTCTGATGTTCGTATATAATAAAAATCTTTAATTAATAACCATAGTGCTTGTCTAATTTTTGGTTTTGTTGAATCTACATGACAATTATGTAATAATTGATTATATGTAAGATTAATAAACGATGATTTATGAACAAGAAAAAAGAGATCAAATACTTCACGTAAAATTTGTTCTCGTAATAATTTTTCTTTTATTAAATATTCACGTAATAATGGATCATTCATTATTTGTTTTGTTTGTTCAATTGAAACTTTTATTTCACCTTTAAACGATGCTAAACGTATTGTATCAGAAAGTGAATCATAAATCAATTGTTCAAGATCATTTATCATTATTTCAGGATTAATAAATAATTTAAAAAATTCATCATTTTTTTGAAATAATATTGTAAGAATTTTCACAATATACGGTGCTCTTGTTCGACGATAAGATTTTGATAAACGATTTAATTTTCCTCCATATTCTACAAATACATTAAATATTGTTGTAAATACTTTTAAACCATTTTCATTCATATAAAGATCATTTTTATTGAATAAATAACATGATAAAAAACAATCAAATGCTGTTTGTCCTTTAGTATTTTGTCTATTTATTAAATTTGATGAACTTGATTTTATCATTAATGGTATTACATCATCTAAACCAATTTCACATGCTACATGCAATGATGTTAAACCTTTTTTAGCCGTTTTAACAACACACGGATCAACATTTGGATATTTTAATAATAAACGAATAACATCAATATTCGAACGATAAACAGCCAATAGAAGAGGTGTTTGATTTTCACCATCAACACCATTTGGATCAATACCTTGATCAATTAAATATTCAAGTAATTCATTATTATGTAATAGAACACTATCGTGAAGTAATGACCATCCATTGACTGTTTTATTAAAATTAGCACCATATGTTTTTAATAATTCTAATATTTCGAAATTACATTTACGTACAGCACATACAAGAATTTTATCGGTTATTCGAGCATCATGTTCCAATAATATTTTTATAAATTTAAGAGATTTTTGTGTTTCAATTGCATAAAACAATGGACTTTGACCGCGATTATCTTCTACATCAATCAAATATTTTTGATTATTTAAATCTAACTCATTTAAAATATCTTCCAAACGTTGTTCGATATTCTCTTCATCTCCATTTTCACATGATGAATAACATAATTCATTCAAACGTTGCTGAATAATCTTAACTGTATCCCTATATTTAGAAGGAGAATAAAGGTAGAAAGGGCTTTATTATAGAAATAGTCAAACTCTACACACACCTTGTTTTAACAGAAATGTCATTCAACTCCATTGCCGATATATTCAGATATTGATCATTTTAGATACCTAAAAATGAACGAAATCAATTTCATTAGATGCTTCACTAAAACTTCATCAGCTATTTAATGATCAGTAGAAACCGTAAAAAGGTCGTACCAGATTTTGCACACAATGTCATGGCCAAAATCGTTTTTTTGTCTCTCTTATCTTTAAAACTGGAGAGAAAACTTCGCCAAGTGGCAGATCATTTTTTTCTTGCTTAATTCACGAATTTGATATTTATTTGACTACTTAGATCTTTTTTCTCTTATTCTCTGGTAATTGGGTCTACGGTGCTTCATCTCTTACTTTCGAATGAACAAATTCCGATATGCTTTTAAAAATTAATCTTTAGATATGAGAATCTGATGATCTAGTCTTATAAGAATTTGTTCATTTAACAGTACGAGATAGATCCCAATAGAACCGATTACCAGAGGACAAGGACACCTAAGAGAGGAAGGCCTAAGTGCAGATAAATATTAGATTCATGATCGGCATCAAGAACTGCATCAAAAAAGTAATCCAGAGACCTTCCTATTACTGCGTGAGTTTTATAGAGTCAACCACTATACAAGCCGTTCCTTTGAATAAATATTAAAGAAGAGCTACAATGAGTTTTTTGCAACTTTTTTAGATTTTTTATCACTTACTTAGTGAAAGAATTTATTATTCGAAATTTATATTGTCGATTTATATATACGTTATTTTCGTGACATCCCACGTTGTAGTATCTAAGTACAGAAAAACTAGAAGAACTTAGAAGAAAATGCGAAAATTTTCTCCATTGTATAGAAGAAAAAATGGATAATATCAATAAAAAAAAGAGAAAAAAATGTTAGTCCTAAGAACTGCAACAAAAAGAGGAAAACTGATGATATATGGAAAGGAATCCTGCTGAGAGTATTTCCTTAACTCACTGACACTAGTCATCAATCTACCAGGATTTTATGTAATTTATTTGATGAACAATTTTGCCTTTTTTTCTTTTCAGAAAAAAAAAGATAGTATAAATAATGGCACAATCAGATGTGTTATTCATCCATAATAACCTTATAAGGTCTTCAAAGCAGTCAAATGTCACCTTAGTCATGAGTCATTTATAAACCTCAGAACGCAAAAGAAAGAAGAAAACAAAATATTTATATGCCACATTTCTTTTCGCCTGTCTTCGAATATTTGTCCAATCTTCTTAAATACATGGTGAAATCAGTACTCATGCCCATAAGAGGACAGGTAAAGAGCTCATTAGTCACGCGATGTTCGTATGATAAATAAAGAGCTGGATACGGAATACTCAGCATAATATATTTCTGACTTTTAGTGTGATGATAATAGAAACAGGCTATTTCTTAAATGTTCGTCTTTATTCCTCGAAAAATATGTTTATTTTTGCTTTAAAAATAATTTATTTTCTCTGACTGGAATTATTTGTGCAACTATTGTATCGTTTACTTTTTACAAGCAAGTCTGCACGAGTTACGATTAATTGGTGTTTTAGTAACTGATCATCAGTTACTTGTATAATCAACCAGTTAACTGATTTTAACTGATCATACTGACTGAGACTACTATTCATTTCAAAAAAATGGTGTTGTTGGGTATTTCGAAATGTGATAGAGACGTACGGTTTTCAGTTCCTGAAAGTCGACACCTGCCGATGTTCATCTGTGGGACAATCAATCTGAAAGCACTGTACCATATGAATCTTTTTTGAGAAGATCATCCGACTCTGATGCATTCTAAAAATCTACTAAACACCTATATTAGGTGAAATATCTTACATTGGCCTTGAGTTATGAAATTTTTTATTCCACTTAAAACATCGTCCGTAATAATGAGTTTTCCCTTAAACCCGACGTCATTAGATGTCCACTTTCAGGAACTGAAAACCGTACGTCTCCATCTCATTTCGTTCGAAGGAATACCCAAAGACACCATTTTTTGAAATGGACAGTAGTCAGGCATAGGGGTGGGACAGTTTCAGTTCCTATAGTTCTTAAGAACTGGTCACCAGTTCAGTTCCTGTCGAACGGGAACTGGTTACCAGTTCTTTTCAAGAATTCAAAGTAAAATAAAATCCATAGCTAGTTATATTGACTTGGTTTAGTCAACTAAACGCACCATCTACCCCTGGCGCACTAGACCAAGTCAATGTAACTAGGTTTACCGATTTTATTTTATTTTTATATTTTAAAAAGAACTGGTACCAATTCTCGTTCAAAAGAACTGAACTGGAGCTGTCCTACCCCTAGCCAAGCATGCACCGAGTAATTGGCTAAGGATTTTATTTTTTTTCAAAAACCTATCGTTTCGTAAATTGCTTCGTTAAAAATTTTCTGACTCAGTAAGAATGTAGAGCAAACATTTCTCTACAAAATGAGAGGTTGGATAACTCTGCATGATTTGTTTTGAGATTTCGGCAGCGATATCCTGTAACGGACTAACCGAGCACTGATCGAGTACTCGATACTCGTTTACTACTAGATTATGTGTTCTTGAGGTATCGCTACCAAAATCTCAAAATAAATCATGCAGAGTTATTCAACCTCTCATTTTGTAGAGAAATGTTTGCTCTACATTCTTACTGAGTCAGAAAATTTTTAACGAAGCAATTTACGAAACGATAGATTTTTGAAAAAAAATAAAATCCTTATTCAAGTAATCGATGCATGCCTGAAAGTAGTCCATACACAGACGACAATGCGAACATTTAGCCAGAAAACGAATGCATGAATTTTTTTATCTCAAACATTAGGTAATAATCTTCACATGACCTATTTTTTCCTAACAAAAGTTTTTTGTTTCAGTCTTACAGTGCTAAAAAACTCAGATACGAAAATTATAGATCATTTTCAAGCATTTGTTGATAAATACTAAAGCCAAAAAGTAGTTTGAATATGAAAAGAATTTACTTGTCCGCATGCTAAATCAGAATTACACACTGTGCCCGATCAGTATTGTAAAATCAGTTGAAGTCAGTTAACTGGCGTACCAGTGAATCAGTCAAATAGTTAATCGATGATCAGTTACTAAAACATCAGTGAACTGTTACGTAACTTTAACTGGTACAGGTCTAATGTTGGTCTCTAATAGTTTGTATCATTTTTCTTTTGCCATACACAAGTTTCTATTGAGTTTTTTTTCATTTTTTTAAAAGTAAATATAGATAAATATTTAAAAACACAAAGCAACAACAACAGAGAGATATTTTACAGACAAAAGTTAAGAAAATTAAAATTGATTAAGGAGAAAAAAGATGACTTTATTGCAAAGTCTGCTTTTATATTCCCCTTGAAATAGATACATAATACAAAAAGAAAAACGAATCTAGAAAACTGTTTTTAATAGACAATGGAAGAAAAGCAAAAAGATTAACAACCAACTATAAGCGAACATGTTATTAAGTGTGAATAGCAAAATACATACATCAACGGTAAAGTAAAATTTGTTAAAACAGAATATTATAAATTCTTCTTTTAATTATTGATAGCTGTATCAAATAAAAGTTTATTTTGATCATTGTAAGAAAGAAATACAGTGAAACACAAAGAGAAAAGGGTTGATAAACAGACTCATTCAATACGAAAGTTAGAAAAATTTTAAAAGTATTTTTCGATGTCTTCTAAACAAAACTAAGTCTAAAAGAAGTTTATCGGAGTCTAAGAACGTCTCAGCATTCTCAAATGTTGAGATTTTAACCGGTAAAAGAAACATACTTAAAATTATTCTTAGTTTAGAAATATATTTTTTTTAATGTTCCACATATACTTGCTGTTTTGTGAGTATTTATGTCGATAATATGTGTACGTTATGTATTAACTGTTCATCTGTAGCTACATCTAATATGAAAGTTGCTGTTCTTATTGCTAATGAATCGAATGATTGAATGGCTGTTGAATCAGTGGTGTTGAAATAGGAGAGTAATATGTTTCATTATCAAAGGAAGAGGAGAAAGAAGATGTTGATACAGTAGTTGAGCGATTATTTTTCGTTAAACAAGATTGACTAGAAGAACAGGATGTTTGTTCATGAAATTGTTTTTTGTCGCTATCTGCTACTTGTAAATCAGAATAACTGCACTGTGTTCCAGTAGCTGATTGTTCCAATGAGTCTAATGCATTTCTACTAAGTGATACTGCGGGACTGGGTGATGAAAGAATAAGTGAGTTTGGTCGTTGTGGAGAACATTTTGATCTTTCACGAGGCTCATCAGAAGTAGAAAGACAATGTCTATCAAAACTAGTCCTTTTATTTTCGTCATAATTTAGACGAATAGATGAATCAGGTGTCGATGATAATGAATTTAAAATTATGGGTGTTGTTGTTTCACCAGCCGAACAGTGCAAAGTTGAAGAAATACATTTTGGCGTCGAAGGAATTTTATGAGATAATGAAGAAGAATGATTCGATGAAAACGACGGATGAGGCAAATGTCTTCCGAAACCTATTGATGAAATCATTGAACTAATATGAAATAATGCATGTGATAAACATTTTTCATGATTTGTAATTGAATCGGACGATTGTGTTGCCGATGAACCTAAAATGAAAATACAAAATATATGTTAAACTGTTTATAAAACTAAATAAGTCTATTGCGTGCAAAAGCAACAATTTTCGATTTTAGTAATATTAAATGAGTACATTCACTAATGCATTCACCCTGAAAGAGCAGTATTGCTATTGCATGAAAATTGTGTTATTAGATTAAAAAGGAAAAAACAAATTACAACAATACAAAACAACGACAGAAAGATTGTTTGAAAAATTAGTTGATAAAATCCACAAATTTAGACATATCACAAAGCTAGTATAATATAAACTCTGTGAGAGAAATATTCTTAATTTGATTTCAAATTAGAGTGAGTTATTAATATAGATGTAAGAACAAATTCATTGTAAATATTGAATTAGTTAGCTATAAACACGTTAAGCAAATAAAAATCATTTTTGATTTCCTTTTAAAGCAAAAAATTTCAAGTAAAATATCTCACAAGAATCAAGCTTAAATAAAAAGGATCGTTCATAGTCGCATCAAGGTACCAAATTCACAATAACTAATTCAAATTCTTAAAAAAAAACTGATTAGATCTCAAAATGTTTTTAAAAATTTAAACTACAAGAGATTTTGGTTACATAACTAGAGTTCATTCTTATATTAAAATAATGTATAGATCAAAGTATACTATACTTATTGGTAGAAATAATAGCATACGTTTTTTATTTTGTAGTTTTCAATAGTGACTGGGCTCTATAAATAATACGATAAGGCTCATTTTTTTAAAGAAAACAAAAAAGTGGCAGCACATCTGGCGAATATAAAACGGAAAGTGCTTACTTTTATGATCATGCTGTAAAACTAGAAGGAGAAGATAGTATATGTAAATAACGTTCGTTCTCTTCAAAATCAGCTTAATCATAAGTATAAAGTTTTATCTTATTTTTACCTAGATTTTGCATGGCAACACCAATCGGTTTTAACTGAAGTCCATCTAAACGTTCGTGATTTGTCATATTATTACTACCGTTGTTATTATTGTTCGTGTTGAAATCAGCCGATGCTGCTGTTGTTCCCGCTGTTATGTTGTCAAGACCACAAGAATAATACCATGTTGCCTCTGTTTTTCCAAATCCGGTGTTACTTCGTTGTTTTTTTTTCATTGTCGATGATGAACACGATGTTGACTTACGATGATATGTACGCCATTTTCGTCGTAATAATGTTGTTGTAGCAGATGATGTTGACGGTGGAGTAGTTGCCGAACGAGACGATTTTAATACATTATCTGTAATATTGTCGAATAATGGAAAATGAACTAAAAAATAAAATATAATACACGCTATATGAAATCATTTACATATAAAATTTTCACAGCAAATTAATTTCAAAGCTGTTAAAAGGATCATTTCTTATTGTTGAGAAAACATGATAGAATCATTTCACTCTTTCTCAAGCCAATTTAATTAGTTTGTACTAGCAATTTTATCTCGTGGATCAAGCTCATAAATCAATGAAATAAACGTTTAGCATATTCATAAAAGTTTCTAAAAATTGTTCATATACTGATATTTATCATTTTAATCGATTATTGACTATTTTCTCCAATTAATATTTGTATCAAAAAGATTCGTAATATAGCCATTACGACAAGAAAATCAAATTGCAAAAGACAGCAGCTCAAAAACAGCAAAACAAGAGCGTTAGTGCGATAAAATTACATATAGAGAAAAAGGAATCAGAGCAGTCACAGTAAATAGGCGAAATCTAAACTAAAACATGTTTGATTGATTATTTAATAAAGCAACACATTTTAATTAATCTAATAAAAGAAAAGCTTTTCCTAGTGTGAGTCTTAGTTACATCTTACCATCAAGACTATTATTCTCAATACTAAACTCAAGCAAATTTTCACGACTAGCTAAATACAACAGTGTTCTATTCATTAGAATAATATTCAGAAAAAGTTAACTAAAACAAATTAATTCAACTTACAGTGAAGTGTTCTTAGGCGATTAAGAGTGGGTGTACTTGGCGTGGTACTGTTAGGAGTATATGACAGTGAACCATTATGGAACGATTTTTTCGGTGACGATGATAGATGATCGGTGCGATAGCCGGTTGACGCTAAGGTGGCTGCTGATGGACATGAGATCGGTGAAGAACTGCTGGCAGAAGATGAAGGTGGGGTATTTGGTATTGATATATAACTGTCAGTATGATCCGCAGTGGTTGTAAAATGATGATTATCTTGATCACGACAGACAGATATAAGATGACGAAAATCTAAAGACAGACGATATAATCATGATTTATATTAAAGATTATTGTCTACATACTTATTGGACTAGATATTTTATTTGTTTGTGATAAATGTGTTGAACTAGTTTGCAGTGGTGAGGTAATTAGGGAACGCATAAATCGTCCAGAGCGTTTTTGTGGTTTTGGTGTATGAGAATGATGATTATGCTCTTGTTGTTTCCCCATGCTATAGAAATAAAAACATATGAATAACAATTTGATTATATTCCACTACGCTTACATTAATCGTAATTCACACTCGATAACAAATAATTCCCTTTCGTGTAGTTGTTTTTCCCATTTTGATAATGCAATTTGTAAATGATGCTGTTCAAGATCTTTTTTCAATATCAATGATTCTCGATCACGAATTTCCTAAATAATGATAAATAATAAATAATAAATAATAGTACATTAAAACGATAGATATCACATAAGAACTCTAGTTATTCTGTAAATGTTTATTATCAAGTGTGTTGCAAAAATTCTGGGACACTTCATTTTACAGTCGCCATTATTAGAAATATCATTCTATTTGCATGATATATATTATTGAAAATGCTACTATTGTATCTGATACAGTAAACATTTCTCTACAAGATGAAATGTTGTGCGACTCTGTTCGATGAATCTTTGACGAAATATAAAAATTTTTAAGAAACGAGAAAAAATGCAATTTTGGTACCATATGAAAAATAAGCATAACTTTTTATGAACAAATGTTAGAAATGTGAATGACGTTTCAGTTTGAAAGAAAGTGTTCTTTTTACAAACTGAATTATAATAGACAACGGTCTTACCATTCAAATGCAGTAGTCTTTAGAAAACAGTCAAAATCATGAAAAATCATATCATATGACAAAGAATCAATCTTTTTGACGGTTTTCTAAAGACTACTGCATTTGAACGGCAAGGCTGTTCGAAGTCTACTGCACTTCAGTTTGTAAAAAAAACATTTCCCTTCAAACTGAAACGTCGTTCACATTTCTAACATTTGTTCCCAAAAAGTTATGATTACTTTTCAGATACCAAAATTAAACTTTTTTTCTTTTTTTAAAAATATTTTTATCTTGCAAAGGTTCAAGAAATTTCAGTTATGTTACATTTTATAATCGGACCTTTTACAAAAATTAGTATCGCTCGCTGATGTAGTTAACAGCATCGAATTTTGGAAATGTATTTAACAAACTACCTTTTCCTTTTCTTTTAACTCTTGAAACATTTCTTGTATTTCATTACGCCAATCTTGCTGCATGGTGTGAAATGATTCATTTGTCGGTGACATATCTGCACTCGATGTTTCCTCTTCAATATCAGTTAACTGGTTCAGAATTTCAAAAAATGAAGGTCTGTCGTTTGGTTCTTTTTGCCAACAACCTTAAAAAAGTCAAAGTTTTTGTGACTGATATCTAAATTTTTTAAAATATTTTGTAATTTACTAGTTATTAATTGTGAAAAACTGTCTGGACATGTTGTTGGAATTGGTAATGTATATTTATTCGTAGCAATGCCAAACGCTATTTGTAATTGATCAAAACCACGATATGGAATTTCACCCGTTAAACATTCCCACATTACGACTCCAAAACTAAAAAGTTATAAACAATATTAAAAATAAGCGAGATTGAACATGAAAAAATATCTACCCCCAGACATCAGACTTTGTTGAATATACAGAATCGCGAATACATTCAGGTGACATCCATGCGTACGCTACAACAGAATAAAAATGTACAAAATGTAAAAATTCAAGTAAAAAAATAGTATTTTATTGACGTACTTCCAGCCGCACTCATGTTCGATGTTTGTAATTGAATTTGTCTACAAATAAAAACATAATTACAAACCATAGAAAATATGTACGATGCAGCAGCTCTCACCTTGCCAAACCAAAATCCGTTATTTTCAATGTCTTATGCAATAAATCGTTTTCATCATTTACGTCAACTGGCTCTAATATAAGAACTAGAAAACGAAACGACTTTTTTATGTAATGTATTAAAAAAGCCTTCAAAAATATGCAAAAAAGCCCAAGGTTATATTGTCTGACAAATTTCTTAAATACTTACTATTGCTTGATTTAAGATCTCGATGTATAATATGTTCACATGCTTCTTCATGTAAATAATTCATTCCAGCAGCTATTTGTTTTGCATATTCTAACCAAACATTCGGATATAAGCCTGTTTTTTTTAGTTGTAATAATTGACTTAATGCACTACCACGTGCATACTCCATTATCAAATACAAATTATCCGTAGACAAATTTGGATAACTAACGCCTAAACATAATAAAAATAAAAAATAAAATCGTTATTGTTCCTCAAATGAGAAAAAACAAAATTTTCTTGTTTACCTATCAGTGAGATAATATTACGATGTTTTAAACGCCAGAATAATTTTGCTTCGCGTAATAAATTTTCGATAACAGTTTTTTTCAAATCGTCATTGTTATTTAAGTCCATTTTCGGTGACGATGTTGTGGTGGTAGATGCCCTTGCAGTGTATGTAGATGAGAATGACTTAGCCGTTTTGATTGCTACATCCATATTTCGATATCTGCCATAATAAACATGACTAAAAAAACACATACACAATGTCTTGTATAGAAAGAAGCAGTCAAGGTATAGAAAATAACAGTAAAAATTACCCAAATCCACCGGAGCCAATAATTTCGCCAATAGTCAAGTCATCAACATGAATTTCAGGCACATTAATACCACCATCTTGAGTTTGTGCTGGCGTTATTGTGGTGACAAAGTTCGAGGGAAAAACTCCAATCGACTCGCCTATTTTACCGGCCCACCAACCTCAAATGAAAGCTAATTTTGTTAAACTTCAAATAAATAATTCGAATTATAAGATCAAATCTACCTTCTCCTCCAGAAATTCTCGAATCCTTTGATAATACTTCTAGTTTAATACCACGTCTGTTAAAAGAGAAAGTTGATAATCAAACGAAGCATCAATTAACATAATTTACCTTAACGTCAATTCATCTTCGTTTTTTGCTTGATAATCGTACACCACTGTAAAAGACTGATCGGCTGTTTTTGTTTCTGTAGTTATCTGGTTAGGTACATTATCATCTTCCGTGTGAGGCGTTGATGTTGATAGTGACATTGGTGGTGAAGATGATAACGGCGTATTCATAATGATATTATTTGTTAAACACATACACGATATGTACAACATAGGTTAAATTTTATTTCAATCATAAGGCGAGAAACATTTATCAAATCATAGTCGTTTGAAAATCAGTTAAAGCATAATCTGGAAAAAAGCTGAATTTTATGGACGAATTATTCAATACAAGACATCGAAGACTCATACATAGCTTTGCATTTTAATGATCACAAGATTAAGAAATGAAACAATGAATATTCTACAGACATATGTTTCAGAGAATTTTTAAGCGTTGTTCAGAGATGAACCACTTGGAAGCCATTTATATTCTGGAAATTATCATGTATATCATTTACCACTAAAAGACTTACTGGAATATTTAAGTCTTCGTAACAATTTTGTTCCTAAGCACTAACTGAATAATGTTTTAGTACTTCCACTAGGATCGTGTTGTCTATGTGTGCACGACCGTCTCTACCACATGGAGAAAAAAGTAGTAGTTGTCAGGATTTCATTGTACCAGAGAAAAGGAATATTGTATACAACTTGAAATCTGCAGGCCCGCGTGATAAAATGTACTGTAGTTTGTCAAAATTTTCTTTCAACGTTTTTTATCTCAACTTGTTTAACGTATAATAAACAGTCAGATGTTGAAAATTTTGCTTTTCTTGTTATGCAAAAGTTGTCTCTTTTTGTCTCCAGAAAATGTGATTATCAGAAAATATATGTCACTGTTATAAGAAAAAAGCTTACAGTAACAGACCTTTAAAATTCTTATATTTGACATCTATGCGTTTTATTCAGAATGTGTACACTTTTTACGAAAATTAAATAGTGTACAATCAACGATAAAAACTCATTAGACACGTTGCGTCTGCATAATAAATATTTGTGAATATTCGAGATAATCCGTCCATTCAATGAACTCTTATTACTAAAGAACTTTGATCTGCGAAATATTTGTATATTTAAAGAGAATAAAACTTTCCTATGAAAGAAGACATTTTTATATTCTGTCAACAAAAATGAAGAGAAAAAGAAATAAAAAATTCATAGATTTTTGCTTCATATATATCTATCAAATTTTAATCGACGTCAATACAATAGAAACTAATAAAAACGTAGTTAGTTTTCTTTTTTATTTTATTGCTTTTTTTTAACCCGTACATTTTGATTTTTCGAATCTAGCCAATCATAGAATGTCTTCTACCATTGGAAGTCAATTGAAATCCCCAGAAAAAAAATAGTTATTCACCGGTTCATAATTTACAAAATTCTTTGAACGCAAAACTGGTTCTTCCATAGCTTCGGAAACGTGCTGTACACACTTAAATTTTGATAAAGGACATAATTTTATGACGAAAATGGTGTCCTCGCATCACCACTAAACATTTGCTATTGGTTAAAATTCAAAAACTTTCGTTGTGGAGAGAAAAAAGAGCGGACAAATGTACGAGTTCAAAAAGATTTTCCATTCAAGGGAAACATCATCCGCCTTGGCTTTTCGTCAGTTTTCTTTTACTACACGTGACAACTTGATCCAGCTCACGAAATCTGTTTACCTCAAAGATTCATAGGGTTTTCGGAAAAATGTTTTATAAAGAAAATACCCTTTCATATGTGAATACCACTTAATAACAGTAAATAATTTTTGAATTTAATTTTTCTCCGTTTTATAGAGACATAGACATATACTTTTTTAATCGATTGATAATGTCGGTGAGTACCAAACGAAAACGTGAGTCAAATGAAAACGATAATAAAAATGTGAAGTTGTTTGTGACACCGAATAAAACGTATTCATCTCGTCCAATGTGAGTTAATATAGGGAGATTCTCATTTCAGTTCTAAAATTGAGGCATTATTTTCTGTTTTAGTCCATTTAAACAAATCGATTTGAATTCAAAATTACCAAAGGTCGAAATTTGCCATTTCAGTGAAATCCCGAGGGAAATTCGTGAAGTACTCTTTAGTATTTTAACACGTGTGTATCATATCCCAGAGATAAGTAATAGCGTTTGTGTAAGTGTTTTTATGTATTTTTTTAGCCAATGATTTATATAAACTATCGTTAACAAGTCATGAATATTATGGTTATGTTAATGATTTTTTGCGTTCATCCATGGGCTTAGTTTACTTAAAAGCATTTTTATCAAATAAAAATACCACTAAATCAACAGTCATATCAGATGACAGAATAAAATCAATTGGTAAGCATAGGGTTGTTTACGTCCATCATCAACAAAATAGTGATTTTGTTCTTTCTATTCTAAGGTCGATTATATCGTTTATTAACATGTCTCGAAACCATTAATCGTCGTATACAAGTTTATAAAGACGTTTTATTTATAAAAGTAAATGCTACTGGTAAAACTTGATCTTTAGCACTATTGATTGTTTCGAAAGATCTAGCGAGTAATAACAGGGAAATTGAACCTGCACATTTCATTTCATTTGAATAAATTCAAACTGACTGTGGATTCTTGTTTCAAAAAAAATAGCGACTAAGTAGAGAAAACTTCTTCCACTGGTAAAAATACTTTGCAATCTTAAAAGAAGTTATTCTCGTTCTTTTAGTTACATTTATTACCGGGAAAAGAAATCGAAGATGTTCGTAGTGCTGGTCGATTTTTATCTGAAGCTATTGCGACTTGGCCTGAACGCGATTTAGAAATATTGTACAGTCAGTTTGATCATCATTTATTACTAAAGAAAAAAATTGAACAATTTTATACATCAAAAGAAGGTTTGTATTGGATTAAGTTTATTTTTGAAAAGAGTGGAATGTTGCTCTTTGTTTTTAGTTGGCACTGAACCCGAATTGGAAATGGATATTCGTTCTTGCTTTCGTTTGATGTACTTTGATTCAATTCAAATCAGTTATATACGTGGTTGTTTTCTTAATTTAATATTACGTAATCGTCCGATATGGTTTCAAGCTCGTTTATTTTTGAATTTATTCGGCTCAGTAACGCAAGGTAGGAAAACTTTTATTTTCATGAAATATGATATCTATGCAATTTGCTTCATTTTATGATTAGGTAAAATTGACTGGCAAATGTTTAACCGTGATCGTATAAATCAACATCCGTCAATTGACGAAGAGCAAGTTTATTTTGATATGAGTCGGGGTTTTCGTGTACTCGACTTTTCATCTCAATCAAAAAAGTTATGGAATAGTAACAGTAAACTGGCATTGTTTACTGAATTGACAAGTAAGTACTTTTGTTGTCAATCTTTTACATAAAGAAAAACAATTTTCAGTTATAAAGGAAACGAACCACTGTTTTATTTAAGTGTGAGTAATGCTATTCTTGACAAGGTGATATTTTGACGTGAGTCTCACAGAGATGGGTAACCCTTCTCTTTTTCGAGTCTGAGCTATTGTGTTTTGAGCTGCGAGTCTAGCTCGGGTGATTCTTCACATGAATATTATATAAAACATTACAACAAATGTTATATTTTAGATGCGTCCAAATACATAAGTTTTTTATGTAAATGATGAAAGATGTAGTCTCATTAAAAGAACACAAAAAATTCTTTCTATAGAAGCGAATGTAGCCGAAACTGAAAGATATTTCATTGCTATTTGATGTAAAGTAGGATAAACATGTTCTTTTTTGAAAAAGTAATGGTGAATCCATACTTTCTTCAGTTAGAAACAGTTCAAGTTTACGAACTCTTGATGAATTTGTAGCGAATATCTTTTTTGGTGTATCCTATACATGTGAAGACAGTATTTTTTTATGTTTTATAGGGGAATCATTCTTCAAAGGGTTTGCTTATGTGATATGTTAGAAAATAGAATGAGGTGAAAAATTATTCTGCTGAATATATGCGACACTTTAGTAAACTTTATACATTTTACCACGGAACGTTGGTACGTTAACTTCTTCAAGAGTAAAAAAAGTGAGACAAGCCACTATTTTTCGATCGTCTTATCTCCTGATGTGTGCGTTTTATATCGTAAAACGTTTTAAAAGCTATCTCATCTCGTTTCGCCGAAGTTTTTTCTAAGTTGTGTTGTGTTATTTTGACCCGCCTCGCGAAATTTTTTGCAAGATAAGATTATTTTTGTCTACCTCTGATCACATTAACAGAGACATCTCTCAGTTTTTGGAGATAGACCTACTCCGTTCATCCCTTTTTCATCTTGGGAAATGATTTATCAACAAATTTTTTTTCTCTCTCTCTAGCACAACCATCTGCCTGGAGTTTGGAATATAAAGCTGAATTATTATTTTATTGTACATCAGAATTATTGTCCAACACCTTAATTGCGTATGCTGTAAGTATCTCGCAATCAAACGGCCAGACGAATCAGTAAACGATGGGATAAAAATGTTTTTGTTTTTCATTTTTCAGACAAAAGGTTATTTTCACGATTATGGTAATTTGATTCAAGCGTTGACGTTGGTAAGTAAAAAAAATATAGATAATTCGTTTAAAAATAAGTAGTTGTATTATTTTTGTAGGCATCACGGCAAAATATTCAACGTTATCGAATGATCCAGACTGGAGTAAATCAATCATTTGAACGTTTACCGTTACTGAGTCAACGTAATACTTTTCGTTTCATCGTTTTTTTCTTAATACGTCAATGGTTTTTGTTACTCTTGTAGGAAATGTTGTTCTTCAACATATAAACTATGCATTCAGAAGTACAGCATCTCGCTTATTAGAACAACTGCGTAAGTTGAAGATAATCTGAATTTGAACATCTTATTGCTTATTATTTCTATATTTTAGAAACACCTGGTATGAGACCTGCTGAATATCGTCGCTGTCTTCAATTGTTAGAGTATTATGATGGACATAAGGTAGCTCTAATGTCCTTTTTATTTACAAATAATTATATTAGTTCTAATTAAAGTAATCCTGATTCTCTTTTCATATGTTAGTGCGTTTTTCTTTTTTTTATTAGATTAAATTAAACTTGTTTTCAGTTAGAATTTTATTTGTAAATTGCCACTGTTTCTGCTATTTATTTTCTATAGTGTGTTGTGTGTTTACAAAAATGTATTTATCGTTTTTATCTGTTTTTGTCTTCAATTATATTAATTAGGAATAAAAAATATTTGTAGATTTATGGTTAAAACTTTCCTCTTTAGATAGGAGACATCTTTCTTATGTATTTGCGTTGTCCTGGTTCTATCATTTGTGGATATGGATTTGACTATATCCCAAATTGTAAGTCAAATCAAAGTTTTTCTAGCAGAAAAGCGTATATCCCCTATCCAACTAGTATTTAGATGTTTATGTATTTTTGATACTGAAATAATATATTGCAATTGCTGTAACAATGTAAGGAAAATCGTTCAATATTATTCTATGCAAAATTCGAGCAAAATTTCTTTTTGAGGTATTTATACATGATTGGATAGAGTACATCGAGTTGAGTAAGAAAAACTGATTTTCAACTTTTAAAAAAAACATTTTAAGGAAGAAAAGTTTGAAAAATTAGAAGAGTTTAAAATTCAAATTTCAAAAAACTCTTTACTTTCATAAAAATTCAAATTTTTTTCTTTTTTGTTCTTCTAACTTTGTGATAGTCCTTTTTTCACATTCGATATCGAAAACTGATGTCGAATGCAAGCATGTGCGAGTCCGAGAAGGTACCAGAGCTGGGCATCTCCATGGTAACAAGTCATTTTTTGGCTTAAAAAATGACTTGTTACCATGGAGATGCCCAGCTGTGGAAGGTACCAAGTTCGAGTCCTTAACATTAACGACCGAGTCCGGGTCCGGTAATCTTTTAGATTTTTTTGTAATGAGGGTGGTTTATTTCTCTTTTTTAATTTACTGAACCCTGGATACAAAAACTCGAGTCCGAGTCCAACAAAAAATCTCCAGTCCGGACTCTGACTCTCCCATGCCTGGTCGAATGATGAAAAAAGATGAGTGAATTGTTTTCAAAATTGAAATTTGATGATGAAGATCTGAAAATACGAATATATTTCTATATTTTTCGTCATTGATTTAGTAAAAACGAGTTTTCTCGGCAACGAAACAAATAAAAGAAAAAAAGCGCTTCATATTTTTAAAGCTCGTTTAATGGCAGTTCTAGTGAAGTAAAAAAAGTCGGTTTCATCTATTCGCAAGAAAAATTAAATATGTTTCCAAAATTGTTTATGAACCTTTTACATAGGGAGTCCAAAACGTTCATACTGGATAGACCTTTGACTTCAACCTCGATCAAGCATCATTCTCATACTCGGTTTTCAATGCTGAATCTGGTAAAAATGCTTTCAGTGTATGTTCAGTATATACAAAATATCTCAAAAAGCAATTTTCCTCGAATTTTGAATTGGTGGCACCTTAAGTGAAACAGCTTTTGAAAGAAGATTATCACAAAGACCTAAATTCTACAAAAAGCAACTGATTGATTTGAGACTTTCAGAATTATATATTCTGACTTGTCGCATAAGTTGCCATGAATTAGTGGAATATATTTATCTTATATGAGGACTGGGTGGTTCTCTGTAGCTTATCTAATCAAGTATTGGTACATTGAAGACTGCCATACTGTTTCTTACATCAAAATACATCATTTTTGGAAGTTCCAGGATCAATGAATGAACACATTTTAACTGCTCGATACGTAGTGTGTTTAAACTTTAAGAACTTGGAGACAATTCTGATGACATGTTCGTGAGAGACTGCCCAGGTCAAACCAGACGGTACGTTAACGGACGGTTAACGGCCAGTTTACGGTCATCTAAAAAACGGCGTAAAAACGTTCTATTAACGTCACAGTAAACTGGCCGTTTCAAGAGCGTCAGCGCACGGCCTAAAAACGGACCGTTTATTGGTGTGACTGAGTGAAGTATATCTTCTATATCGTAAACTAACCGTCTTTAGGTCGTTTTGACGAGGCTCATGAGCGTTCCTGTCAAACTATAACGCTTGTCGAGTGGTAGATTCTCTAGTGAGATCTTTTCAAGTGATGGTATGTTGCATTATACAATTTAACTAGTATAGAAATTGTGGTTTGACTTGAGTAATGAGTTGTTTGGAAGTAAACGTACAACGTATTTATGTAATCATTCTATGTTGAAGTCTAACGTTTAATTGTGTTGAGAAAAGTTTTTGTTTCAAGAATAATTTACAAGAGTAATTTAACCAATAATTAATTATAAGGAAAAATCACGCACTACAAAGTTAAGAATTTAAAAAATCATAAATATTAAATATCTGACGATGTAGTAGCTGAGGACTCATTATGAATGGTTGTTTCCTAGAATCTAATAGTTCTTTTCAATAATCGTCAAAATATGCATGAATTTTACTTATTTATTGATGATACAATTCTGAAAGTCTAACTTGTCATTATTCTTGTGCGTTGTCATCGACAATTTTTATTAGTTTTAGTTTGCTTTTTTTTGTTGTTACAATGTCAAGAGTCTCTACTGCAAAAACTTTTATTTTGTACATCAAACGCGATCTGGGCAAAATTTTCAGGAGTTGAAGTCTGTTATAAGAATAGATTTTGTTAGCTCAAAAACATCAAACTATGCAAAAGTTAAAGTGTTTTAAAATCCCTCTCCAGAATAGAATACCAGATGATCTTGTATTTTGTTCATCAATTTGAATTATGAAGAGCAATCTTCTATTACGATAGTTTTCATTAACGGCAAAACGAACTTCTTAAACCAATCCCAACATTGTTACAAAATTTTACCAATAGTTTACTGTTTTCGTTGTCTCTTTTGAAGAAAAATAAAATTACTTCAACAGCATTCCGTGAAGGTTATAAGTATGTGAAAATCATTCTTTTAACATAAATTTTATTTGAGCAAAGTTCTAAGAGTAATCTCTACAGAAAACTAACTAAATGACACGGAGGCAAAATTAGATCGTAAAAACGACACAGAAATTTATTATATTATTGTTCAAAAGTACAATTTCTCTCATTTTTATCGTTTTCGTCCTGTTTTACTTCTGTCAATATTGATTTTTATCCGAAATAGAAAACCATGGTCTTCTATTTGGCGTTCATGTTACATATTTAATAGTGGTCTTCTAATGAGGGAAGGTTTTCCATTGTGAAAGTGGGTTTATACGCGTTATACACGACTTATTTCGAAATTTCGTCCCCATCAAAAGCTCTTATCAAGATAAAAATAGTCATTCGCTCTGCAAGTTTAACCTTCATTGCAAAGTTTGTTTTTTGTGCATCATCGGTGTGTTTTGTTAAATACATTTCATATTTTTATTGAAGAGAACAGTAAATGGATCGATGAATCTGACGGCCAGTATCAGGTAGTTCTTCTTTCGTTCTATTCAGTGGAGTTGATCAAAGGAGTAAGTTAGAGCTAAGCTCACATCTGTCTTATAAACATCAATTAGATCGTGCCATTTTTTTCATTGTTACTCTTGTTTGGCAACAAATTTCCACGTTTTCCAAACAAATCTAATCCATTTAACATTCACAAACGATAAAAAATTTTCTTTACAAAAGTAAATTAGACTATCAACATTTTAGTCTATTTTCTTGTTTCATTTATAAAGACGTTTTTAAACCGATATTGAACCAGATGGGCGGGGATATTTTTAAACCATACTATTATGTTAATGCAAGTTTATTGACAAATTAATATCTACTATTATCAACTCTATGTGTTTTTTAACAGTTCAACATCCTTCCGTTTCTTACTCTCTTCCGAAACTCATCAAAATTTTAACTTTGTTAACGCTAAAAAAAACAAATGAAATTTAGAACTGGTTACATTTTTGTCAACCATTAGAGTGAGCCGGAAGACTATGCTGAGAAAAATAAACATAACTATAAAAGAAGATTAACTTTCGAATTTAAATTTTCTTTTCGTTTAAAACCCAATATAATATCAGTTTGCTTGTAAACATAAATAAATCTTTATCCAAAACATGGTATATACGTGTGTATAATTAACATAGATTTAGAAAAAGAAACCATTCATTTCACTATTTTTGATGTTTACTGACGTAATCGATCTATATGTACACGATGAATTTTAATGTGATTTTTTTTAGAGATCAACTCTCTACATATGATATAAGTTTTATACATATATAAGAATACATGCAAAAAATAACCTGTTATTTGTGTACTTTTCTAGTGTTAATTAAAATAATTAATTTATTGAGAAAACATGATTGTACCACACGCTTCTCGCTTCATTTCCGTAGTTAATATTTAGTAAATGAGAATACATATCACTAACATCAACGAATAACGAAAAAATACTGAAGAGCAGAAAGAACTGATGAAGTCGCAATGGTAGAGGGGTCAAATTTTTAAACAATGGATCAAGATAAATTACGATGAAAATGAGTCGCTAGTTTCTATGCGAATGACGTCTCGGCGTAGGCAATCTAGCGAGTACAGTTTGTATGTATATTTTTTCTGTATTATATGATAAGGATTCTAAATGAGTAGGAGTTGATTTTTAAAACTAGTCATAAACATAGGCTGAACTAGTCCTTGAAAAGGACGGAACGAGATCGTTCTTGTTTGATGATCATTTTGTATTCTAAAACCATAGATAGAAATCATAATAATAGAATATCATCAACAGCTTTATTCCTTCAAAATTATCTTTGATCGTTCTCATATTCTTCCAAATTAGTTTAAAAGGAGACCGATGTGTACACTGTGACTTGATTCTCTAATTCAGACTAGTCAGTCCATCTATTTATAGGTTCTATTATTATGCTTGAGGTTCGAACCGTTGATATACGGACATATGAATACAACTAAATTATTATTTTACAGATATTTTTCCATTTTTTTTTGAAACATTCTTTGTACATTGAACTAAATTGACATTCCTTCAAGGTCGATGTAATTACTCTTATTTAAAATGAAACAAAAGATTGTTTTCGTGAAGTATCAATTGATTGTATGTATGTATTTTTTTGTATAGGAATATATATATAATTATATAGGAGTACAGGCTACTGTTATTATATCCTTGTACAATTATTGAAAGTGCTTTCAACATACTCTTCTGCCTTGTTGAACCATAAAGTACTGTTGTTTTTTTCAGGAAGAAAAAGTTATTCTATACGATGATGAGATGAAAATATGTAAATAATAATAATAATGATCATCACTATGGTTTGAATAGTTGTTAATTACTGTAATTTTCAATGTAATGGTGATATGAAGGAAGGAAAGAAGAACAAGTTGTATGCTATGAGGATATATTTTTTATATAATGATCATTCTTCAAGTATCATCATTTCTCATTTATACTTGTGTTATTCATGGCATAAGAAACAGCACTTGTCATTCTCTGCTAAAGCACTTATTTCGTCAATCTATAGAGAGATTGAATATTTGAGGATAAAAGATGTGCTCTAGTATGTCACCTTACTTAATATGTTGATAAAAATGATTATTAGATAATAATCATCAATGCTTGAAAACGAAATATTTGGCATGTTGGTCTTACGTCCATAACACAGTAGAATAGTCATAAAGCTGGTATCATTGCACGTCTCTTGATTAAATTGATAACTCCTCCTTCTCATCATTATCATCATCAGAAGAAGACACCTGTCGTTACTGAAAACTATCATCATAAGATAAATTTTTCTAAAATACAATGATTTCTATTATATAAAGAATCTGTATGTTATTCCTGTTTGTGTTCGGTTGCCGTCTGGCCCTGATAATAATCCAGCAGAGATCAAATTGTAAAATGATTTATGTTCTTATACATGATGATTATCAAAACAAGCTGTGATGATAAAGTATACTCACAGCATGTATTAACAAAATAAAACTCGTATAATTTTCAATTTTTTTTTTGATCTTCTATAAGAAAAAAATTAGCAATTGTTGATAAAGATGAAAACAAAGAGAGAATATTATTCATATAGATTTCAAAACGAAGATGATACAAGAACCAACAGTTGGATCTTAGACACCTATGTGAAGATACTACTTGATGATAGATAAATAAATTCAAAATTCATACATAATGTTCTAACCGTTTCCTATTGTAAAGATAATTTTTTTCACAAATGTTTTGACGATCATACCTTTAGATGACGGTAATTTGAAAGTGAAATATTGACAAAAGTAAACACCTTAAGGAAAACGATATCATCTCTCTTTTTCCTTGCTTTTGTCAAAAGTCAATTTTATTTCTTGAGTTTCACGTTTATGTGTGATGAAATTGATGGATATACTTAATTTTCTGCAAGATGTTAAAAAACAGCCTTAAGCTCATTAACAGAGTATAGTGATGTCTCTTCAACTCAAGAACTTAAATATATATGCGAGAGAGTTGTCTTTGTAGAACCTGTGAAGAAGAAATTGATCAGCGCACACTTTTGTCGCATGAGAATGCCTTTGAATTAAAAACGACTATTATCATATTTGTTTTATGCAAAAGAGAGAAACTAGAAAAAAACTATAACAATAACATATACACACAATTTTAAATACATAAACAAAACGTATCACCAAGGTCGCCAAACATATTTTGCGCTATTCGGACTTTTCGGAACGACACATGATAGTTCATCGTGTAATGAATTCTCTAAGTCTGAGGGACTCGATGAAATTGATCGTTCAGTTTTACATAAATCATTTGATGATGATGTGGATGTCGACATTGTTGAATATGGTGACGGTGAGGCTAGTTTTGTTTCTTGGATACCACCACATCTGTTTAGCCAATCATTTATGACTGTTTCGTGTGGCAGTTGTTGAAAATGGTGATTTGTTGTTGTTGTTGTTGTTGTAGGACGTTGTTCATATGGACTAAAACGGTGTGTAGTACTCGATCGTAACTGCGAAAGTAATCGTTGTCGTTGTACGGGTGTCATGCCAGGAACACTCATCAAAAAATTTGAAATTTCATTTGTACAACGTTGATAACCCAATTCATAATTCCGTTTCATTGAATTCAAACGACTATTGATTTGTTTAACAAAATCGACGCACATTTCTAATATTTCTGCTTTTTCTAATTTTTGATATCGTGCTCGCTATAGAAATCAATATTAAAAGAGTTAAAGTTAAGCTAAACAGTCATTTTCTAATATACTTACATCGTAATGACAAGCTAATAAATCTTTTAATTCATCCAAACTACGATTTATACGATCACGACGTTTTTTCTCAACATACGTTTTGGCAACCTAAAAGTTCAACAGTCAATGTATACTTTATTTAACAAACAGAAACCTTCAGGGAATCTTATATTTATCTCTACCACTGTGAGATTCGACAAAATAAGACATGGTTTGTAACATAGATAGTCGAGTTATTTCCCCAAGTGATATAGAGAATTAGAAACTTTTAGTTTTAACGTTTGATTCAGATTCGTTTTAGCTACAAAACAATTTACCGTAATAAACTTGGCCACTTCCGCTTTCATAGACTCGGTCTAGTCCCTAAAAAGCGATCGATTCGAGCTTTTCCGAAAACTTTGAGTGATTTTTTCGGGTCACTTACTTTTCAGAGGCTTGGCTGAGTCTACGAAAGCGACGAAATTTATTCCGATAAGTTGTTTTGTAGCTTAGACAAATCTGAATCAAGCACTACCAAAAGTAGATCGAAACTTTTTGGCGATACAAAAATTCTAGATGATTCTTTAAATGACTTGAGAAAATAACTCTCTCATCTCTGGTTTGTAATGATAAGAAATGACATATGCTTACCTTTCGTGCACCATTCATATTTAATTCATCTTCGAGATCACTACTACTCGTGTACAAAGTCATAACCATAGTGTTTTTCAATTTTCGTAAAGACGCGTGTTAGTTTAATAAACGTTGTATGTGTATGTGTTATCTTCGTTAAGCGTTTCAACTACAAATTTTTGAATAATGAACTTGTTGTATACGATCAATTTGCACTCGGAATTTATTCTCTCTTGTCATTTCATTTCTATTGGTTCAAGTTGAAAATGAACAAACTCTTAACCAATGATTTTTTCTTTTCATTCTCTAAAGGTCGTTGAACATTTTTAATCTATTCTGTAAACTATTTCGTTCTCTCTTTTAGGTAAGATATGCGAAATATAGGTGTGACGATTATTGAACTTAACCAGCTTTTCTTTCTTTCTTCGTATTCTATGAGAACATCGCCTACTTTCCCACCAACATCAAAAGGACGAGAAGTCGTCTACCGACGCATTTAATGCAAATCATAAAAGTAAAGATTGTAATGTGTACACGTGTTCGGATGAGAGACCATTATTGAATTTTGTTGTCATCTCTAGTCAATTTTTTTGTTTGAGTAGACGTAACAAAACAGATGCATATAAAATTGAAGATGAAGCGATAAATTTATTGAGTTGTCAACAAGTCAACATGGGAAAACTCTTACACACACACAACCATCCTATACGTCGTACTCTATGTGTCATCATAAAAAAAACCTTCTGTTTTTAGAGATGTAATGAATTCCAAGATGATTCGGTTTTCGTGCTCTATCACCGTGCAAATGTCAAAATTAGAAAGTTCATCGTTGTATATAACATACTCTGTCGAATATATTTGAGGACATTTTCCACGAACCTGTGGCTGCATCAGAAAGAAAATTCAAAATTTGTTATTTATGAGTAATCAGAACTATTCAATCGTTTGCAAGTTGTTTGTCAGCTCACAATATGTTATTAAAGCACAAAAAAAACGAAATCATTAGACATTTTATAGAAAAATATGTTTTGTGTCATTAAGTTTTTTTAAAATCCTTCAATAGAAAAATATCGCCTTACATTCGTTATGTGTTCCAATCTTTGTCTGTAGATGCTACTCAACACATTTTGTAAAGATTTTCAGAGAACCGTTTTAGAGAACTTGAATATCTTTCAAACGGTACAAAATTGAATGTCTCTCATTTTTATACCACGTTGCGTTTATTATTATTACGACCGTATATTTCAGTTTTCCTTTTTGCAGAAAAACGTACATGAACGCGATCCTTTCACATAAAATGCGTATATAGTTTTTTCTACAGATTGTGTGACAAGAGTAATAGAATGCATAAGTACTGCGAATGCGAACTTTTTAAAAAATGTGACACACTGAGCCCGAACCTTGTAAATTTAACAAATAACGTAAAAGTAAAAACGACAAAAGTTTAAAATTTAACTTGAAAAAAGCTTGTAGTCGTTTTATAGTTCTAGACATCGTATAAATCATGAGATCAAAAAGTTTAAAAGTAAAAATTATCTCAATATGTGATACTGTTTTCTTCCACAGCAGGTGAATATATAAAATAATGTTCAAGATTGAAGAACACAATTTATTATTATATACTTCTGATATTCATCGCGGTTCAGGATAAATGACCGATTAAAATCCCGCCCTATAAGTAGACACTCGACATTCTAAAGTAAAAAACACATACCGACGCATAGGTTGTATAGCTACTGCCCATATATATACGTCGGAATTTTTACAAAGACAATATACTCTAACAAGTGTTTGTTATATTCATTTAACTATGTGTTGTTGATAAGTCAGCACAAAGAAACGTATGTTCACTTGATAACAAAATCTCTACGTATACAGATCGACTTCCTTTCCCACCTTGATGAATGAATGAATGAATGAATAAATGAATGAACAGAATATAACACAAAAATCACAATTCATAATGAAAAATCCATGTTAAAGAGAGAAAGAAAGAGAGAACAAAATGCCGCCGACTAAAAGAATTTGATTTATAATTTTTAAAGTGTCAACTCTAATTGAGTCGTGATACTAAAACTGATTTAATTTGTAAAATAGTGGAGTGCATGATTGATTGTATTTCCGTAAAAACTCTACAAAAAGATCAAAATATCTCTACATACAAACACACACATTGAAAAGACAACATCATTGAAAATAAAAACATTAAACTAACTTTATTACAAAAAAAAAACAAGATAACCTCATTCGACGTTCTTTTTTTGATTTAAGCCTCAAAACATGTGTACCTGTAAAACTCATTAGTCAAATTTTATTTACAATGATAATTGTTCAGGATCTCTGTATGAATGAATGTTTTCAGAATAAAAAATAGAACATTCGTCTGATATGGACAACATTAATATTTTCGTTCGTTCAACTCTGAGAAAATTATTATATTTTCTTAAAGCTGAAAGACTCGTGACACCTCTGAATATATATCAATATCTTTTATTTTTCAAGTTTAAGAAATTCAACACACCATTATCGGTTTAAATTCCAGTTGACAGGTGATATATTTGTTTGTCCCACAATGCTTTCGGTATACGTTTGAACTACACGTGTCATCATATAAGATATGGTTCATGTACCAACGATTCGTCTTAGACACAATACAAAATTATCACCTACTGTTTTTCAAGAAAAAAAATAATAATAAAATTTTTGTAAACATGTGAGAGAATAGAATATCTTTTGACAGCCAATTTTTATTTTTCTTCTATTCATTCATGTAGATCAAAGATCAAAGAGTGAGCGAGCAAGAGACTTGTGTCATACTCTTTATTTTTTTTTGTGATAGGATAAGAATGGAAAAGAAAGAGAATAAAATCACCACACACAATAACGAGAGAAAAGACCAATTGTCAACAATGCACAACTTCGTGCCGATTAAATTTTCTTATTACTCAGTTTTTTTTATGAATTAATTACAGTACTTTGTGTTGCCCGATGTGTTTTTCAAAGGAGAAGACAACACAACAAGAATAAACTTAGGTGATAATTGAAAAGTTCGACGAACTATGCAAGTAAAGCATCCACATAGAGAAAAAATATTATTTTAATTAGACATGTGACACCTTAATTCTTTTTTTTTAAGTAAACTATAGTTTGTATAAGACTTCAACTATTGTTCAGTACTTTTTGCGGAACTTTTGATTCTAATGTGTAATGAAAAGTTTTGTATTTCAATCAATAAAACTGGTAGAAAGCAATATTGAGGTTTCTAATACATAAGTATTGATGAAATTGATTAAACAACAACATAGTTATTTTCAGCAAATGGTACATACGATAGTAAATGACTGTTAATTGTAGTTTGACAAAGTTCAATTCATTGATCAATCATATTGTTCATTTTTTTTACCAAAAATTTATAGTTTGGAAGAGTGACAACGGATTGTTGCCAATGATAATGACAAAGATAAATTGTCGACCACTGCTGTATATGACACATAGTATCGTTACATTAATACCATAAATTATTCTAAACGATGACATATGTAAATAACGTTTCTATTGAAAACTATGGATTTTTCTCTCTTCAAATATAAATATATACATACACACTTAGAAAACAAATGATGATATTAACAATTAGAACTATCAACGTTTTCGTGTATTCATCAAAATCGATTTGAACAGGAAGGAAGAACCAATAATAATAATAATAATAATAATGATGATGATGATAAGTTAAATTGAGAGTAAGCAAGGTTGTCACATTTATTTGTATCATTTGACATGTAGTTTCCATAAAATAGAATAATATCAGAAATTCTTGGAATGTTAACAAAACATTCTATAGTCACGCTATTAGACACTTTAACTTTCAATCATGCACATCATAATCTAATATTATAATATTAAAAATAGATCACATTTAGATTTTAGAATGAGTATATTAGAGCGTGAAACACTTTAAAAATGTTACCAATTTATCCATGATTGGTTTAAACGGTTTCACTATTTAATTCTTAAATGTGAAAGAGTTTAAATAAGACAAACGAGGAATCATTTTTTGGGTGACAAATCTCTTCAATGATAAAACATAGATTTGTCGGTAATTTTTGATGATAATGACAAATTTGATGTTCGTTTTGATTGTTAGACTTCTAGATTCAACGTGGACATATCTGGGAGTGCCAATTTGAATTTGCAAGGAATATCAGGTTAAGGTGCCGCTAACTCAACGTTTAAGTATTATTTTATTTCTGACTTATTTATACATTGTTGGATAGAGCAAGTCGAGCTGATAAAGAATATATAAATTTGAATTTTCCTAGTCTAACTTTGAATTAACAGCGCCTTCCATATCTGTACAAATTACAGTACAAACATATTTCACAAAGTCAGAAGAATAATCATATACTTGGTATGTACACGTTAAGAATTTCAGGTTATTTTAATAGTACAGATAAAACCATCTTGTTAAAAGTTGTTCTGATAACTGTTCAGATACGTAACTTGATATTCTTTATGAACTGGCACTCCCGGATTTTCATCGAAAATTATCCAAAAACCTATGTTTTATCATTGAAGAGAATTATCGTTTAAAAATGAGTTCTGATCTACCTGAAAACAGATTAGATTCTTCTAATTATATAAGGATAAAATGCTAAAGTTCACCATCATCGTGTTTGTTTCATGCGTTAAACTTTTAATTTAGTTGTTGAATATTTCTCTAACTCATATAAAACAACAAAATTTGTTTGCTTTCTTTAGTGTGAGAATCACACAAAATTTAAAACTATCAATTTATAAATTATCAAGTATTACTAAAATTTAGAAAATTTTTTTTTTTTTATTCTCTTCATGTCTATGAGAATTGAGTTCGTTTGTATACACATCATTACACACACTCGCTTTCTTTCTCTTCAAACAATCGTTAATCAACTGATAAATGGTACTAACAAACTTTTGACACACCTTAGAAAGGTGTTTCTTAAACTATGAAGACTTTTGTTTGATCATATTCAATGCCGGCAACTATATGATACAAAACTTATTCCTGGGAGATCCTATTGTGAACAATAATTAAGAATGACTTCATTCACTTAACTTCAGGCAAAAAATATATCGATAATCTAGAGAAAAGAAGAAAAATTGATTTTGAACAAAGATAGAGAATTGTGTTGTTATGAAATCATGTTTAGTGAACTATGACAATTTTACTTGCGTCTTGAGGCGCCGGTGCAAGAAGACGACAAATGAGATCAAACATTAACGATCAATTCAAGAAAAAAACATTTTCTTTAGGGAATGAATAATAAGACGATAAAAAAAACGAAACAAATTTTAATTCTCATAGGATGAAAGAAAAATGGTAGTTTTTAAATAACATTTGAAATATATTAAAATTTCAAGTTAAAAAATATATTTGAAAGAATTTAAGTCTAATTCTTCTCTATTTCTAATATAAAATTGTATAATTATTTCTATTATTTGATTTTTTTTCTTCTTCTATTTGATTGATGACACATCCATACGGTTCTAATAGGAGAAAAAAAGTCAAGTACATTATTAAGTAGAATAATATTATTATGAGAAGAAGCGGAACGAATGATGATGTGAAACACGTTAAATATGAAACGATATATTTATATATCCATATTTCGTGATGAGATATTTTCATGTATGACGTTTTTATTTGATGATTAGCCTACATATTTATCATTGCTAGCAGGATACGTCAATATTTTATTTGTCTTTTTGATGATGTAATAATCTTGTGATTTATGTTATATCAAGGATACAAAAATTGAAAAATAAAGTTAGATATGTTGTGATTTTATTATATAATCTCTATAGTCAAAACCTGATTTTTCTTTTTTCTTTTCTTCTTTAGATACGAATAACAACAAAAAAACAAAACACTAACAACTTCAAAGTCAAATCTCATAACTCATCTTCCTCAAATTATGATGTTCTCTCTATTTCAAATAGATAAGAAAGACAATAGTTTTACATCATCTTAGAAGAAAAAAAAAACGTAGAATAACATGAACAAAATTTTTTTTTGATTTCTTTTCTCACACAAGAGATTACATATACGTTCAAAAGAAACGTGTCTTGTCATTAAACTCTATGGTATAGTAAAAAATAACAAAAATAACAATGTTTAATTCAGAAGTTCTATGCTTCCATTTAATAAAAGTCTCTTCATAAACAATTTTTAGAAAGTCATACATTTATTTTTAATTCTTTTTTTTTTTTTTCTTTTACAATTGTCAAATTTTTATCACAATGGTTATACTCATTCATAACTGATATACTACTACTAATAAGAAGTTAAAATGGCCCATAAAAAACACCATTATTCCTTCATTTAGCAGTTCTTTTGTATTCAAATTGTCTTATTCACCTTCTAAAAACAAAAATATAGAGAAAAAAAATTTACATAAAACACATTTTAACAGTGAACGATACGTTTTTGTTTTTTTTTACTCTTCAAATCACCTATTATACGATAGGTCGATCATTCAATGATATTTTATCAAGTCTTCTATAAGACAATAAAACTAAAATATTTGATTATGAAACATTCATTGACTAGAGTCTTAAAAATTAACTGTTTCAAATCATGAATATGGACAAAATAATAATAATTTTCTAATAAAAATTATTCTCGAACATATCATTCGTAACATCGAAAAAATGTTGAAAAAAAAAAAAGCTTTCTTTAAATTATACACTATACTGAGTTGAATAAATATAATTTTCTCCTACGATATATAATAAATAATTTTCTGTGTCAAAAAATGAAAATCACTTTTTTTTTCTTCTATTTATGATTAAAATCATCAATTTTATAATTAACTGAGCAACCGATATATTTTGTCTAATATTAAAACACTTGTGTGTGTGTATATATATATATATGCGTATATAGATAATTTTGTCATTTTCGAAGATGAGTTCTTCACACTTCTATATTTTTAAAAAAATCAAATGTCATTTTTTTTCTCACCTAACGTTAATGGGTAATTTTAAAGCGTAACCAAAAAAAAAAAAAAAATATAATAATATGGTCATCTAAATACTTAGACTCATCAAGCCAAAGGCATCATCTAAAGTACACAGATTAACTGAGATTTGTTAAGTGAGCTATTATCGGTTCGTTGACCAGTAACTAAAAATTTTGTATAAATTTTTTCTCATTGTACTCAAGCTTAAGAAATGATTGTAAATGATGTAAGAATTATGATTGTGTGAGCACTTACTTATAACTCGATGCTTTCCCACGACTATATGATAATCATTGCCATCATTGATTGATAAAAAAGGAGAGAGAAAAAGAGAGAAAGAGAGAGAAACAGTTATCTTAAATGTGCTAGACGATAAAACGTTTGTTTAAGATCAAAATCTGTTTGTCTATGCAATGAATAATACAAACAAACACTGTATAGTTATTACCATTGAGATTTCAGTCATATCGTTTTCATAAAGACTTATGACATCATATTTTAATAGAAAATCATGTAAACATCATCTCTCTCTCTCTCCATCTATCTCTCTCTCAAAATGAATATAAAATCTATTTTGAATAATAAGTATTAGTTGGTAACTAATTATTTCTTGATTAATTACAATTTGAAAAGCAAATATGTATGGGAATAATTGTCTACGTTGTATTTTTGTTGTGAAATTTTTATAGTATAAATATTATTAATGATCTAAATGTCAAACATTGATCAGTTATCAGTTATCAAACATTTTCTCAGTTTTCTTCTTTTTTTTTTTGTTTTGTTATTGTTATTTTTATCTTGTTAGTTGAATTTATAATTTATTTTGAATTAACGACTATATATTTAAAACTATAGCCAAATACAAACAAACAAACAAATAAAGGAAAGCACCATTCTATCATTCACTGTTATCTGGAACAAACAATCATATACAAATAAATCATTTTTGTGGAATGTTTTCATAATGGAATGTGCAATAAAAAACTGATAATATGAAATGTTTATACAAACAACATAGTATTATTAACAAGATCAAATTTTTTATTTTTTATTTTATTTTTATTTTTATGCATATGGTCGCCAAATAGTTTGAATTTTTTGTCCACCATGATTTGAACCACAACTACCAAGTGAAGATGATGATGAAATACTCGAGTCAACATGAGATGAAGTGGATGGTGAAACATTGCTAAACGATGATAATATTAAGGGCGTAGAATTAGACGAAGAATTATTATTAATAACCAGTTCTAACGGATGCATAGAAGAAATTTTTTGCTGTTCTTGATATATTTTATTTGTATTAAATATCATTTGATGTGATAATTCATTTATGTGATGTGTTGGTGGATGATATGAAGTTGTATGAGATGTTCTTGCATAAGGATGAGTACGTCTAACCCACATTTGTCGACAACGATTAGCTAAACGATCACGTTGTTCAGGTACAATATTTGGTATAGCATTGATAAATTTCCAAATTTCTTCTGTACATTGACGATAACTATTTTCATAATCTTCCATTGATAAATGTACAATACGTTTTAAATTTCTTACATAATTAACAGCCATTTCTAAAATCTCTGCTTTTTCAAGTTTTTGATATCGAGCACGCTAGATAAAAAAAAAGAGAAAATAAATGAACGTCTGTTAGAAGAGTGATATTAATGATCAATTATACAAGATAATATTTACCTCATCTGTTAATGCCATCAATTCTTTCAATTCATCCAAACTTTTATTAATACGATCGCGACGTTTTTTTTCTACACATGTTTTTGCTAACTAAAAGGTAGATAACAAGGTTTACTGTATGTTCGATGCAGAGCAAGTCAATTCTTTTTTTCCCTATCGTATTAACAAATATACTATTTTTCTTTTTAGCATCTTCTCAATAAAAACCTTAAATATTCATTTTGAGTGATAACTCATATAAACTTTCTCTCATTTACTTTGTCATTTTTCATTTAATAGAAAAGCTAACTATTACAATAGACCTAATATACTATTTGAATGTAAACATTTGCAGGATATCATAACTGCGTACCTTTTAATGATTATTTTAAAAAACTTACTTTTCTTGAACTTTGCTCTGAGGAGTAGGATGATGCATTCGAATAATCACAAGTTAACATCATTTTTTGGAAAAAATATTATTTTCACACAAAATATTTTGATTATATTTCAAAATGTGTATGTATAAAGGTGCTATATAAATGAGTGAAACTGAAAATATCTATTTTTAACTAGTACATATATATATATATCCAATTTAATATAGACCAGACATGTAAATAGGCAAAAGTTAGTCGTGTGTAACAAATTTTAGTGGAACGATGACATTATAACACTGTCACTGTTTTTCTAATGGTGATTTAATGAAGATCTCCTTTAATAATCAACTCTATGAAAAGAACGAAGAGAAATAAAAAGAAGAAGGAAAAAAAAATTTGAAATCTGTATTTCTATTGGATAAATTTTTCATTATTATTTTCTCTTCTTATTCAAAAAAAAAGAGAAGAAAAAAAAAAAAGTTTTTTTGACGCGTGCTATAGATATCTATTTATAAATGATTCTTTTTCCGTGCATACACGCATGTACATAGAACATAAAGACAGGTTGAAATGTAAAGATATAAGTACAGAAAAAAAAATTGATGCAAAACGTATCAAAATGCATGGTTTGTAAACGAGAATAACACGTATTACACAAGAGAAAAAGAAAAAGAGAAAACGGGCAAATAGAATATGTGTGTTCTATCGGAACGTTTTTCTATTGACAAGCAATAGTAAGAGTGAGAAGATACGTATATATGTATATAGAAACATCCACGCGTTGGCAAGCGTACCTATTAAATTTTATTTGCTCAGATATATTCACATAGACCAATAATAATTTCTATCTTTATAGAATCGAATTGTTTACGGAGGTATCCTAACCAACAGCGAGTGTAAAGATACCCCGCCCTCTTTCAATTCTTAAAAATTTTCATTTTTCTCTAGTGGAGCTAAAAAATTTTTTTTCTACTTCTATACAATTTCGATGACAATCGTCTCTCAAGAAACCGTCGATCCTCCTAATTCCTAACCGATATCATACATAGTGAACGTTTTTTTGTTTGTAATTATCAACATCGATACAAATGAAAAAACTCCTCTGAATCTTTCCTTTAAGAAGTTTCTTTCCATCAGAGTTTCCATCTAGTTTTAAGTATCAGTGACTGAATCTTTGCTAATTGCTGCTCTTTCGTTTTCGGTGTAGATAACAGATTTTATAAATATGCTCAATCTGTCATTTTCGATTTTTTTAATAAAATTGTGTGAAACCCTGTCGTAGTATAGTCTGAAAACAAATTATTTGAAAATTCAAACATAAAACGAATGTTCATTTAGGCATTTCAATTCAATTTTATGTTTGATCGTTAATCCTAAAATGGTTCATTAGACTAAGACTGTCTCGATATAGCGTGTGAACGGCTTCTATCAATCATTCTTGATGAACGTAATCATTTCTCTTCTTACCACAATTATACACTCAAAATATGAAGGTCAATCAAAAAGTTTTCAGATTTTGAATGAAGATCGAAAATAATTTACTAAAGATTTTTTTTATTTCGATTGAGAGAATAAGACAATTTCTTAATTGTTGCGTGAGTATTGTATCATCAAGACCACATTCTTAAAAGTATAGAAAATATATTTAGTCATTCTCACGCTTCAGTCTAAGAACAAAGATATTCATATCGAATTGTTTTGAATGCAATGACGATGAATATTTAGCTGCATGTCTTTTTACAAATTGATTATCAATAATGGGATTTATCATTCCGAATATTTTCCCAGACGCATGCGGTCTACCGTTTGAAGTAATATGTAGCGAACAATTCTCTTTCAATCTTACGTTATTGCAGAGCGAAACGAAAGAAGACATAGTGCTTTTCATAAACACAAATTCATCTTTTATTCTTCCCACACTATACTTTATCGTTCTTGTCGGTCATCCGTTCTTCTCAATCCTTGATCGTAGATTTCTAAAAAAAAATGATAGTGCACATCCTTTATGACACTCGTCTGAAGTTATATATTTTTTTTCGTATCACAGCTTTAATTATGATATAATTAGTGTTACAAAAAACGCATATTTTTTTTATAAAATTTTGCCGTTTTCTCTCATAATATTTTATTTAAACGATCATTGTAGTTCAAAAGTGTATGCACTGAATAATAACTGATCAAGTACTAATTTACACTTTATATTTAACATCGAAATCAATGTTCAAGAGAAAATTGTGTGTCTTAATTCTATCATAATAGAATATACATTTTTTCAGTCAACTTTTGGATTTTGCACTAAACGTTTTCTCAATGAGAATTACAATTAACTTTTCATAATAATATTTTTTCTTATTTCTAAATTTTTCATTGTTTACTAGCACTATTTTTTCCCCATCTATACTCGTTTCATCCAATCAGTGTTTCTTTTCTCCTTCGAGTCAGTTACTTACTCATTCTCTATTATATCTAATTGTACAAATTTGGAAAACTGATGATTCAAATGTACGAATAATGTAGATGAAACTTTCAAAATATTTTTCTGTTATCTGTTTTAATTTGGATGTAATGGATCTTAAACGACAGACATCTTTCGAAAAATTTGTCGATTTTTTTTCTGGGAAATGTTAATTTTCCCTAGCAATCACATGATAGTTACCAGTTTTTACACTATACACCATATACAATGTACATAGTATAAGTATATATTGTTTGAGTAGTCAATTACTCGCCAATGTACAAAGCATGACTTACGATGCCAAGCGTAAAGTTAAGCAGTCAGTTAGTCGATGGTCATTCTTAAAATTATCACAATCGTTTTCTCTATTGTGTATATAAAATGCAAATATCGTTTGAACATCTTAAGGTATAATGAACATTCTAACTTTCTCTGATTATCGTTTTACTTTTCAATTGTTGCACAGTATAGTCGACTCTAATAATGTTCATATAGTCTTTTATCAATCATATATTAATTAACCAACAAATAATTTTTATTGTATTAATGTGTAAATTATTTAATTAAAACAATTTGATGAGAATAGACATAAAAGAAAAAATGAACTTGTATTTAGAAAAGAGAATAGAAAATGTTTATTATCTCTAAATATCCACAATTATAATGAAAGTATTCTCGTTTCTCAAATGAAAAGTAAGATAATCCACTTTATTTTGTTTTTATTAATGAAAATACTCTACAAATAAAATCAACGGGAATAGACAAGCAAAACTGTTTAATTCTACATATTTTGGAAATTGCATTGTTTAACTTTCAATTTTGTTATCACAGTCAAAGAATGTACGTATATGTCTCTTAGATTTTTTACTAAAAGAAAAACAGTACATTTGTTTAATGTAAAAAATGTCATGTAAACATTTGAAGAGATTGCTACCTCCACATAATCATTCATTCTATAAGTTCGAAATAGTTTTAGTTTTCAAATAACCAAGTAAATTTAACAGAAATGGAAACCAATAAAATTCACTCTTCATCACCACTCAATGGTACACTCGAAATTATTTATTTTTTTATCATTCAAATAATTATTATTGTCGATAGTCTATTGATTGTTTACAGAAATATATAGAAGTTTTGTAAGAAAAGTTCATATGTTTAATTTTTTCTTTAGAAAAAAAAAAAAGTCAAAAAAACAACGAGAGGCGGAGAAGTGGTAGTTAGTAATGGATTTTCGTTTTCTTTCGAATACAACAACATACATACGCAAATATTTACAACAAAGATAATCTTATATGAAATGTCGGGCAAAAATTTTAAATTAGTCATCAAAAAATCATATTAGTCTTATTAAAAAGCAGTAGTTTTTATTTGTTAACATTTTAGAGTTTAGTAACTAGAATTGAATATTAGAAGGCAAATTTTGTTCTAAATTGAACAAGAATAATTGTTATCACAATTCATAAGAAAAATCTATTTTTAATCTATTTTTTTAAATTAATTTTAGCATATATAGTTAATATTTTTGTTAATGTATAATATACAATACATAGGATGATTATTATATTGATAAAGTATTAATCGTATGTGCGTGTACCTTCTTTCTCTTTTCCCGTTATCATTATCCACGCAATAAATTCTTGACTTTAGGTCAATTAGCAATAGTTATCAATTTTTTTTTTATTTTATTTGTCTATCATCATTATGTATCACCATCTTACCTTCCGGACAACTCTCTCGTGAATAACGTCAGTCAAATGACAACGAAATGAATGAAAAACACACTACTACACGTCTTGCATATTGAACTTATTCATTCGTGCACTACAAACATTAGATTGTAAAGATAACAAAATATATATATATCCACGCATATACATAGAATAATGAAGGTGTATATAACTGTATAACAAACTATACTACAGATATTTCGTTGATTACAGACATTAAAAAACTCTTTTCATGCAACAAGTATTCACTGTAAACCAAATAGAATTTCATAAACGAATGAATACGAACTGAAAACCATAATAAAAAATCTATCTCCTTTTATTTGATTACTTCAAAGCTTACAATCAAATATTTGTCCTATTAGGATACCTATATTCAACATCTTTTTTTATTAGACATATATCCTGTTTCATTCTTTATTCCAATTTGTTATAATGGGATGATATATATAGTCATTGCTTTTCTTTTTTTTTTACTATTTCACCAATAACAAAAAAAAAAGGTTACTCGCTTGATTCCAACTAAGTTTTAAGTATTCCTACTAAACAAACAGCACGTAACGACAGTAATTTTTGTCAATAGAAAGACAATATGGTACATCAAATGTTTTCACACAATTTGTGTATGTGTATATGCTCGGTCTTTGTTTGTTCTCTTGTCGTTTACTACATGATTCCAATTACTAGAAAAAAAAGAAAAAAGGTTTTTTATGGATTCAAACGTGTCTGGTAGCTTGACGTATGCTTACACGTGGTTTATTCTTCATTTTTTTTGATGAGACAAGTTGTTGGTATATTGTCAAAATACATTTAAAAAACTCTTGTGTTTGTCTAATGACGAAATAGGTGATAGATATATAAATGTCAATACAATATTTACGATTTACTTCGCACCAATTATCTAATTGTGAAAATGAAAGATTTTAACTGAATCGTTTTTCGTTTTTTGGATAATCCGGTGAACACATTTTATAAACAATAATAGGGTTATAGACACCGGTTTAAACATTGTTTATTAGAGACGTTTCGTGAAACACATTTCACATCATCAGTCAAAATGATGATGTGAAATGTGTTTCACAAAACGTCTCTAATAAACAATGTTTAAATCAGTGTCTGTAACTCTGTTATTCTTTATGAAAGATTTTTTATGATAATATGAGTTGATACGCAAATTGTACAACTAAAAAGTACACAGTCAGACGGAAATATAGTGTCTTTTCTTTAACGACCTATGCATAAGTTTTGCACAAAATATCGTGTGCTATTTCTTCATGTTCACACTAATTTCTTGTTTAAAGATAAGTTTGAAGAATGACTGATTATTACATCTGAGAGTGTTTGAAATACTCTTTCGAACAGTGCTCAATAGATTGTCGTTTTATTTAGTTTTCGTGAAGAAGTCGCTTGTCTGGTCACCGTTAGAAAACCAATTAGTCAGCATTAATTGTCAATTCTTGAATTATTAGATGAATTTTTTCCAATTTTTGAACTAAATCTTGATCTTCATTCAATTTTTAATAATTTTATGTAAAATAAAATCTAATCTCATTTACTTCCGGTTTCATGTGACGTCTCTGTTGAAAGCCCTAAATATTAGATGGAAACTCTCGATTTTCAAGAAAGTGTTTCAGAAAACCACTAAAAAGGAACCTGAAAACTTTTTAAGGAGTTCAGGTTGATAGAATTTTTCACGAACTATTTTTTCATGTATTTGGTTGCAGTAAAAAGTGAGTATTTTTGACACCAGTAAAAGGATTTTCTTGATATGTTTTAGTAAAATTTTACCAGAGCATTTTTAATGATGTTTAGTTTTTATCTCAATAAAGTTTTGTGAGAGAAAATTTTGTTTGACGCATATTTTGTTCAGACTTTGCTCTTTCAAACAAAAAACAAGCCCAATCTCCAGAATAGCGTGAACATGAAGAAACAGCACTCGACATTTTGTGTAAAATTTATGCATAGGCCGTTAGTTGCATATTACCACATTCATACATAAACTATTTACAGTTTGATAAATTTGTCGAACAATAATATAAGTAAAAATAATTATTCTGTATATGAAACATTATTCAAATTTGTGTACGCATAACACGGTCGTCTCGCTTTCTTTTAACTCAATAAATTTTTCAAAATGGTTCGTTTTATACAGTCAGAGTCGCTACACTAGACGCATTGTTCTTATGGCCAGAAAAATTAAATGCCTATCAAAAAATGGCATCAGTGTATGAATTCATTACTACGACAATTACAAATCATCATTCACCGATTATTCTCTCCTCCCTTTTTGACTCTTTATAAAATCCCTGTCAAAGATAAACCAAACGTGACAAAGAGTTTATATTTTCAGAGTAAATGGAAAGCTTTTTGTGTATCTTTTCGTTATTTGCCTCGCCTTTTGTATCTCCTCCGAGATTACGAAAACACACAGTTATTCAATGATACTCATTACGACTCCATAAAAAGATTCATCTGATCGATCTCAAACGTTTATCCGAGATATCACAAATCCTATCTCAGAAGTGATCTTTTTCTTTTTTGAAAACATCATTTTATTCCTAAGTTGTGGCAAAGAAATGTGAAAAATGTTTGATAAAGAGTTGAAACAAAAACGAAAAGTCACACAAAAAGTTTTTCATTTACTCTGAAAATATAAACTCGTTGTCACGTTTGATTTACCTTTGACAATAATTTTATGAAGAATCAGAAAGGAAGAGAATAATGGATGAATAATAATATATAACTGTCACAATAGATATTTTCTACCGTATGTTCGAATGATAAATATCGCTCAAAATATTTTGACAGATGTATACAGTACAGAAAAATATGACGTTAATACTTGGAAAAAGCAATCTTAACATAGCCACCTTACAGATCAGTAATTAATCATTTACTTTGTAACAACGAATTCTATAAATCGTACTTTTTTTTCTTTTTAATATAATAAATATATATAACCACAAAAGATCATGAAAGCAGAAAAACAATATCATAACAGAGCTCACGTCCTATGAGAGAGAAATAGATTCAAAATGATCTACTACGTGGTCAGGTTCGCAGTTGTTTCATCATTATTATAACGAAACAGTTTTATTTTGTAGATAGTTTTATATTGTTTACAAATTTAATATCCAATTTGACCGATACGCTTTTCTTGAATCGAAACACTTTGAAAATTGTGTTTTTCAAACATTCGAAAATTATTTTCAAGAAATTAGTTTATAATAGTACCAGTTTGTATACTATATCGAGTTATCCATATCGACAAACTCTTATGATCAACAAAACTAGTATTCAAAAAGGGATGAAAGTTTGTAAATAGGAAAATGTATGTTTTGTGAATCTTTTTTTAAAGTGGTTGTTGGATATTTGCAAAACACGGATTTCAAAGAAAATCATATCACCCAAAACGGATACTAAATTTGTAAACAATATCTAGATTATCTATAAAAAAAACTGTATTTTGCTACAAGAGCCACAAGACACATGCGGCGATTTCTTGTTATACATGACATAACAAATAAAAAATAAAAAATCCTAGCAAAACATGCGAGTATACTGTCATTATAATATATATGAATCTTAATTTCTTCTGGTAGTATAATAAAGAATAAACAAATAACGAAAATAATTTCAAATGATTATGACTTGATAATAATTTTTCACCGTTTTGACATTTTCATCCGTTTTTGCTTCATTAGTTTCTTTTCTGCTTCTTCTTTCATGATATCTTCAATATCTTCTTTTAAACCGACATAACGGCTAAAACAAAAATACAAGATCTAAAGAAGTATCTCTAAGCAAGTAAACATAGCATACCTATATTCTTCTTCTTTCTCCATTTCATTCCAAGATGATTCCATCCGAATATCATCATCATCATCGAGTCGCATATTTGCATATCTGTATAAAAAAATAGAATAGCAACAGTAGCCTCTCTTAGTTTAACATTTACAGATTTATCCTACTTTTTTTTATCAAATTTAAATACTGATTTTAAAGTAGCATCTAGTTCCCTTTGATATTCAGCGTCTTCATCGTCATCCACAATAAAATCACGCATTTCATCGTCTTCTTCATCATCTGAGTCAGCATACATCGGACGTTTTCTGCCTAAAAAATAAATACTATGAGTAAATATAGATTTAAAGAAGGGCAAACACTGTAATGAAAAAAAAACAAGTGATGTTGTTTAGAGATCTCATGACAATTACTTACTAACTGCAGGCTCTTTTCTTCCATTAATACCGTTGTTTTTAACTAGAAATTGCTGCTGTTGTTTTTGTGGATGAATCTGACTTCGTTGTTGTAATTGTGGTGTTTTATTCACAGCCGTAGTAGTTTTTGTTTGATTCAGTGTGGACATCTTTGTTGGAGTAGTAGATTTTGACCTTCCATTATCCATATGAATATTCAAACTACTATTGTTAGTTGAGACTGGACGTTTAAAATTTCCGTTTGTATTAATATTAGTTTTACTAGTAATCAGACGATCATTCTTAGTAGATGTATTGGTCAATGATGTTTTTTGCGCGGTCTGTTTATTTTGCGTGGTCTGTTTATTATCTGAACGTAATGGTGTATTTAGCTGTGATACTGATACTGATGTCGTTTTAGTCTGATGTTCTTTTAACGATGTCGTTTTAGTCTTGTGTTCTTTTAACGATGTCGAAACGGGCATTTTATATCCGTTTGTCCTTCCTATTGCTGTTGTGGATGATTTTGGTCGTGAAACTTGATTTGAATGAACTGATTCGTTTTTAGCTGGTTTTTGATCATTATTCGGTTTGCAAATTTTTGTCACATATGATAATTCTTTTGGTATTGGCTGTTTATTCGCTCGCAAATCAGCTAACTTCATTATCAATTCGTAAGGTATGTTTGGCATCGATGATGAACGTTTTTGAGATGTTTTTGTAACTGTTGTGGAAGTGTTGGAAGTTATTATCTGTTTTGTTTGATTGCATTGTTTATTTTGTACTGTTCTATTAGATTGTTTTTCAGTAGTGTTTGATACTGATGGTAGCGTTTTCTTTTTCAAATCCGATGACGATGACGACAATTTTGCACTCTGACGCTTTTTTAAGTCATGAATTTGTTGGCGACGCTGTTGTTCTGAACAAGAAAACGGGGAGTGATGGTGGTATACATACACTGCAAAACACAATACCCTCTTTCTGTTGTTCTAAATGGCGTTTTTCATTTATCATTTGCACCAGTTTTTCACTGACAGATTTGTCTGTTGCTAATTTTTGCTGTTTAATTCTTTTCTCACGTTCTTTCTTTAAACGTTCTTCTTCAAGCTACAGACAAGCACAACAGCAATCAAATTATTTTACAGAAATTTCAATAGAAAGTGACACAAACCTTTTGAGCTGTAGTTCTAGTATTATCTTCAGCGACTTTCTGTAGTTGATCCCATGAAAATGGCATTTTACCTAACAAATAAGAGATTTTGTAATTAGAAGAAATGCAAAGATTAAATAACTGATTTACTTAGTACAAAAAAGAATCGAACTGCTCACTGCTTGTAGTCCTTGCAATAAATAAATATCAAAATAAATTTTCCTTTTCCTTTTGTTTAACAGTCATATCAGTCCATATGCTTCATGACTCATTTTAAATATGAGTGAAAAAGTTTCAACCAATAAATGGCTGTGACGAAAGAGCGACACTGGCGACGTTGAATTTGGTGCTAAGTGACTAGCAAAAAAAAGAACAAAACTATTTGCATCTGGAAGCATTTCTCTCTTTATCATAAAATTTAAACACTGACATTAAATGCTGAATCGTATGTTTTATCTCATCTGAAAAAATTATCGGATTCGGCGCCACTCTCAGTGCGAACTGATAAGCACTGCGATGAATTTTACAACATGTTCTTCCGTTTTTCCACAAACACTTAAAGATTATTATTATAGAGTGGAAGATAAACTATATTCCCTACAACTGTGAAGAATGTTCCATGTAAGGTTCACGCGATATTCAACTTTTTCATATCTCAATGCAACCATACAAAACTGTTACGTCAGCAAAAGAGAAGAATGACCACTCAAGAGCCGTATACGGCCGTATTTTCACAGTATACGACACCGTATTACTGTGCCCAGAAACGGTACCGTTTACGGGCCGTATATTGTGAAAATACGGCCCTATTTTAATAAGGGCTGTATACGGCCGTATTTTCACAATATACGGCCCGTAAACGGTACCGTTTCTGGGCACAGTAATACGGGGTCGTATACTGATGTTACGGTCCGTATTCCTGCGTCCAGTAGACGGTCCGTATATGGACCGTATCGTTCGACCTGGGCAGTTAGTTATTAATGATGGTGGCCCTAGTGAATGTACTCAAGTGTGAGTACTCAAAAAGTACTCTGCTAGAAAAATCGGACGAGTACTCATACGTACTCATATATTTTTTTACTCACTGAGTACTACAGGTCTAGTCATAGAAAGTCTATCTCTGACTATATAAAGAGAGATCAGTGAGAAAATAATAATATAAGTATTCTGTGTTTCTTCATTAAATTCTACATTCTTTATACAGTTTCAGTTTAGCAAAATAAAATGGTGAATGAATATTTCATGAGTACTCACATGAGTAACTGAGTACTCACTGGGTAACAATACTCAGAAATTGTTAGTAGTACCAATATGAGTGCTCATGGACGAATTATGAGTAAAGTCGTACTCATCGTATGAGTACTTTCACTAGGGGGCACCATACTAACGGCGGCTTCAGTTATCATATAAAAATTTGAAAAAGCGGGTTCTTATGGTCATAATCGAACTGAGAATGCAAGAAAATCTGTAGGAAATACTTTTCGTATCAGAACCCAAGTTTAAAATACTGAGATAAAAATCAAACATACTTCATTTTCAAAAGTTGAGTATCGCGTGAACCTTACATGGAACATTCTTCACAGTTGTAGGGAATATAGTTTATCTCCCACTCTATAATAATAATCTTTAAGTAGTTTGTGGAAAAACGGAAGAACATGTTGTAAAATTCATCGCAGTGCTTATCAGTTCGCACTGAGAGTGGCGCCGAATCCGATAATTTTGCTAGGAGACTAAAAGTCATTTTTCTCATTAGTGTGGACAAAGTGTCTAAAGACCAATTGACGAATCGCAATTTTTGGGCGTAAAAATGATGCAACAATTCGCATTTTACCATTGTTTTGCGAATTCGCAGCGAATTCGTAATTCAGTGC